AAAAGAGAAGACAATACTTAGTATAAAGCAGATCTGGGAGACATTCGTCTAATAGTGTTTAAAGTTAAAAATCACAACTTAAGAAACTCTTAATACTGTTTTTTTTTGCATTGGTTCTTATTAATAACAACACAGATAAAATAAAAAAATACCTATATTGTGAGTATTAATCTAGTAATGATTATTAAGAAAATAAATGGGGAGAAAGAATTAAGGCCCGTTCACACCAAGGACGATAACTATAAAGATAACGATAAATATATAGTTCTAAAAATCGTTCTCAATATTAAAGAATAGCAGAGTCCACACCACAACTATAACGATAAAGACAAAGAGAAACGATGTCGTTGGAATCACTTTCAAAACGATTTTTCTCCAGCTGATGAACGATAAAAAAAATTGACAGCCAATCAGACTCCATCCTGCTGTAACAAGCTCGAGAATTTAAAGCGGCAGACGAGCGTGCGCTTACAATAAACAGACGATATCGTTCGCTGGTGTGGACGCTAATATCGTTATCTTTATAGTTATCGTTCTTGGTGTGAACGGGGCTTTAATGCTGCTAGGTGATTTTATTTTGGAACCTTCAGAAAACTTCAAATCAGTTTTTCTAAAGTCTTTGCTGACTTTACCGACTTCAAACGGGTGTAGCTCAGTCATTTTTTGTCAAATTCCTACAACTCATATATCATTTTGAAGGTATTTTAATGGAGAATATAAAAAAACATATATTTTGCATTATTTGAACATTTGCTCATTGTGACTCATTTTGCCAGCACAGTTCACATATTTATATCAATACAGGTGAGGAGATTAATCACAGCTGACGCACCTGTACATGTGTGACAGAGTTGACTGATGTCCAGATGTTGTGTCTGGTTACTGATGGGATTTTTCACTACACAGCTGTAGTTGTTTGTACCCTGATATTCCACCTCCAGAGGTAGAGAGAGACTGATGCTGAGATCAGACACACTGATGTTGGACAATAAACTGTTTCCATTGAACCAGGAGAGAGTCACATCCCTCACATTCAACACTGAACACAACAATGAACATCTGGACACTGATGATCTTTGAGATGATGAGGAACAGTTTGAAGAGTCTCTGGTGATGACAGGAGTGGAAAGAGGAGCTGGAAAACAATGTAGAAAGAACAAGTAAAAGTAAGTGTTATCTCAGTATTATCAATAAACAACAACAAAAAATAACATGATGCAGATGTTTTCTTGCAAGTCTAATCAAAAAGAAACCAAAATTTTAAATGCAAGGCTGAGAACGAAATTAATGCTTGTACAGTATCTACTCCAAGACACGGATTGATCGTTTAAGCAGCTGAATTATTATCTCAACATTTGGTTGGTCATTTCATAGTTTCTGGCATTTGAATTAACATTTAGTAACATTTATACAACATACTAGAGTTCAGACTAGAATTAAACAATAATGAACACTCCTAGCATTAGTGAGAGTACAGTTTACTCACCATACACAGTAACACTGAAGCTCTTCAATGAGGTTTTTCCACTGATGACAGTCAGTTCATAAAGTCCAGTGTGTTCAGATCTGATGTTTCTGATGGTCAGAGATCCAGTTTGATTGTCCATCAGTAGTTTGTCTCTGAATCTCCCATCATTACTGACAAAAATAAAGTTTATTTGGTCCCTTTTAATGATTTCAGCTATTCGAGTGTTTTGAGGTCCAAACGTCCACCGTATCTGATCATCTCTCTGTACTTTAACATCAGTGTGTAAAGTGACAGATTCTCCCTCCAGCACTGATACTGACTTCACTTCATCTGTTTTAGCATCAAACACACCTGAAACACATTCAAACAAAGGAAAAATCTTTGTCATAAACAAACAAGGATAAAAGGAGTGGTTTAAATTAATATCAAAATGTGAATATAGTAACGGTACACACACACACGCGCATATAAAAGATTAATTGCATGGGCATACTGTATTTATCCTACATATTTGCGGGCTTTTCCAGTCAAGACCACCCAACATGAAAATGCAATCCGGCTTACCATTTGTGATAAGAATGCATAGACTGACGAAAGCAGCGTCGGAATGCATATTACTCAAAAGATGTCCGAAAGATTTCTGATAATTAAAATCCTCATAGCGCCGTCGAAAACGTGTGTTCAAAACGACAGCCTCATAAGCAGAACTAATTCTGCTCTGCTCATACTCTGCTCATACTCTGCTCATACGGAAGGAGTGGGGGGCTTTATGACGCTATAGCACTATTATAAAGAGTTTATTATTTAAATTATTCGTGAATTCGTTAAGTTACTTGTTCTTAATTTAGAACTACTTCACCATATACTGATTTTGATTGCGTGTGTTGACTGAGAGAATATCTTCATTCTGTTCAGTCATGGTAGATATACTGGCTATATACTCTGATCACAATTCATTGTTCATTTAAATTCAGAGTTTACTGAAGAAAACATTCTTCACACATTCAATGGACAAATACAGGGAAGCAGGATAATAAACCAAATAAATGTATTTGTGATTTTTGAATGCATAACACATAACTTTGGCTGACTCCACCCCCTTAGGGGGTTGGGTCGCCATGATTTTGCCAAGTAAGACATGTTCCTGGATCAAC